CACACACACACACACACACACACACACACACACACACAATCATGTTGAACCCTGCAATAAATATGAGTAAAGTCCTTTCAACATGTTTAAACAAATTTATGCACGAGCAACAATCATAAAGCACAGGCGTCAAGTTGGAGATCAAGCTTTTGTTGCATTTTATGTAGAGATTACAAAATAAATTGAGTTTTAAAGTGTAGCTCATAATAATAATAATAATAATAATAATAATAATAATAATAATATTCTACATAATTTTCTGTTTCAGTGCTTGAAGTTAAAAATGTTTTTGAACTAAAATTAATAATAATAATAAAAATAATAAAAAATCAGCATCAGTTGGTTAAAACTCACCGCTGGAGCGCCGGACTATGTTTTCCAGGAAAGTGTTCTGCGGAGCCACCAGTCCCCTCTTCCCCCCATGCATGGTGCAGGAGTCCGGCCAGAAACTCGGTGCTGAGAGGAGGAAGAGGCTCTGCTGGTTCTAAAACCGTCCCATCCCTGCACACTCTGCGCACAGCAGTCTGATCAGAACCGCGGGAGTCCCAGTTCGCAGCAGTGGTACCAGCAGGTCCGGGTGGGGCTTACCAAAATAAAAGCCTCATCCCAGAAGTAAAGTTTCGACTTGGAGATAAGCTGAGTCCATTTTCACTTCCATCTAGGGCCGACACTGGATTATTAAAAGCACTTATAGTAGCATTAGTTGAAAATATAAATATTTGTTTCATTTAAAAATAACATAAAATCTAGCTCCTCTGAATAAGGACAACTTGTGAAAAACTGATCTCAACACTTAGATGCATAATATTATTTTTGTTTGTTTGTTTGGTGTAATCCCATATTACTGTTTTATTCTTTTATTTAGTCTCTGCAGCACTACCTGTGTCATCCTTTGAAACATTTTATTGAACCATCACGATGTAACAAGCAAAGAAAAAAATACCCTCATTTTCTACAAAGTATTTTAGCCTAAATGTTAAGATAACTTGCCAAGCTGTATAAGTATATCTGTTATTGATGATGTTTATACCACTAATTCTAATGTTTTTTACAGCTCTCTACAGGTATAATTTTTTTTTCTTGTGATTAACCTCCGATGGACTTTTATTTTGAAGGAAACTCCTCTCATCCTGTCATGTTGTTCTGTTTTCATTATTTCTAACTTTAAACAAACAGCCACTTGCCTGGAACTTGTACACATTTATAAA